AGTGTTCCTAAGAGTAAAAAAGTAAAAGAGAGTGTATAAGGGTGTAGGGGTGGCATCCAGGTACAGATGAGGTGAGCCTCCTCATCAGCTATTCCCTTATTAAACTGGAGGCATCCCTGGTTTTTGCTGCTGGTTACTCTTGGAAACTAGAAACAAGTCTGATTCAACTTGCAAGCGATTAAGGCTGGCTCTACTAACACGTTTTATTGTATCTCATTTTATCCTTCTCCTGGCCCTGCTGCTGTGCTTTTAAAAAATTTACAGATTTGTTGTCTTGTATGATTAAGTTGGAGAGTATTAAAATTCATGGGGACTTCAACATGTATACTGGTGTTGCCTCATCAGTAGCTGAAATTTGAATCTATCTTTGATTCTTTTGATTTTTTTTTCTGACATGTTTCTGGGCCAACCCATATAATAAAGGTCATGGCCTGGACCGTCTCCTTTGTATGAAGCCTTAACATTACCAATATATCTGTGTAGGATGTACAATTGAGAGATTATAATTGTTTCTTTGTTCACCTTAACTTTAAGTAAATACTCTTGAAATTAAAAACCCAGGGTTTCATAATAACTGAGAAATCTTCTGAAAGGTTCTTTGTCATGTTTGACAATTCTCTGCTTTCCGATTGGAATGATGTAAACACTATTATCCAGTGCTTCAACAGAAAATGCTCATCCATTCTAAATCAAGTGGCACCTATTAAAACAAGCGCTATATTACAGAAAAAGGTAAAAGGCCAGATCGAAATATTTTCTAGATCCATATCAAAAAACAAAAGAAATCCTAAAGTGTTGTTTGGCGAAATCACTGCTATTGTGCCTCATGTTTCTGTATCCATTTCTGTTTACTCTGAATCATACGGCAACAAATTTATTTGATTTTTTTGTTGCTAAGATTAGAGAAATGAATGCCATTTTTCCACCCCCCCCAAAGCTATCTTGTTCTTCTAGTAAGGAACTGACTACTTATTCCTGGTACAATTTTACACCTGTGAGATATGCTGACATGGTTGCTGTTGTAGATAAAGTTAAGCCTTCTTCAAGCTTTTCAGGTGTTTTCCCTAACAAGCTTTTTTCAGATTCGTTGATACTGTTGGCCGCTGGCTTATAATATGTTTCAATGTTTCCCTTTTGACCAGCATGTTCCCAAGCTATTTAACACATGGAACCAATCCTGAAAATGCTTCAAATTTTAGGCATATTTCCAAATTTCTTTTTATGCCAAAGCTTTTTGAGGAGGATGTTGCTTACCTTCTTACTGCCTTCATAGAGTAAAAATTATATGACCATTTACGATTTGTTTTTTGTGCTAAATGCATTCCACTACAAAAACATACTAGTGATATTTTGACAGGTTTTGGCAAATATAAAGTTCTGGTCTTATTAGACCCTTCCTCAGCTTTTGGGACAAGTCTGTTTCACAGAATCATTCTATTATGAGAAACAGATTGAGGGATGTGGTTGGGAAGTCTGGGTTTGATCGAAAGTGGTTTTCATCTTACATGCCTGTTAGGAGTTTTGGTGTGTCTGCAGGAAGAGCTTGTGGAGTTCCTCGTGGCTCTGTAATATGACCTATTTGTTTTTTTTAAAATGTATTCCTCTGTAAGCCAGATAACTCAGCAGTTTAGCGATGCTTCTTATTTTGGCTGATGATATTCAGCTGTACTTCTCATATGAGCTTCACGAACATTGTCTTTTATTAACTGCTTAGTAAACATTAAACAGTAGTTGAGTGACAACAGCTAAAGCCAGACAAAATGTTATATGTGACACTAATCAGCAACTGTGTGATTTGTGATGCTCCCAGGCGTGAGACCCCCCCTCCCCCAACCAACCAAAATTAAAGCTAATCCATTATGAATTACAACCAGAAAACAAATTGATAAAGTGTTATATTTCCAATAAAAAAAAAACCCATCATGCTCCATTAAAAAAAAAAAAAAAGAAAGTACTTTGTTCCACCACCAAAAAAGGCAGCAAGAAAATTGTTTTGGAAAGGCAAAGATACAACAAAAAATAGATCAAAAAGAGCAATTTCTTGTAGCTAACCATCATACTTCAGTCTGTGTTGAGGAATAGAATATGATTCTTCAGGCAGACGTGGGAAATGGATGAAAACCTTCCTATTTATTTGCAGCTACTTTTACCATTAAAATATCACACAGACAATGAGTAAAGATCAACTATGTGTGTTCATTCACACATGTAAGAAAATGAATAATTATTCCAGATTAATGATAAAATAAAGAAGGGTATATGTACACAATTTAAATCTCTTTCCCCTATATCTTTTTTGTTTGTATTTTTTATTTTTTTAACATTGTTTAGAGTTGAAAACATTCATAAAATATTCACAAATCCGCTTTGCTGGAACTTGTGTCCCTGTTTTACGTGAACAAGAGAACACATTGCCCAAATAGCACTAGCTGTTAGATGCTCTTCAATAATATATCCAAGCTACAAGCACTCACTTAGCTTTAGTTTCATTCAGAGGATAATAAGAGCTGCTTCCCCACTTTACTCTGAGCTCTTTAGAGACATAGACAAAGGGTACATATTGTTTGAGTTGACAGCCAACAACATAATGTTGAAAAGCATTCTTCTAATCTGACTTATAGTATAAAAACTTTACACCACATTCAATTATCTGTGGAAATGATTTCTATTCATATCCATCCACTTAAGCGATCATTTAAAAATGTACATGATGTTGTACTTGTCATAACCGTGCGATCTTAAAGTTAAAGTGTGTGGAAACTTAACGAGACAATTTTGAGGAAAAACAGTCATCAGTCATCTTAATTACATGATATAAATTCAGATTACAACAATATTTGGGGGTGGAGCGGAAGTTTTATTCCCATTGTTTGCTTGCTGTATTTGGCTGAGTGAACTGGAATAGATACACTAATCTTATCTCTGAGCACTGACTTGTTTGCTCAGACATGACTAAAATCTGCGATTAGCTATGGAGCTTGTTGTTTGGGCCATGTTGTGTCATATCTTATTTCAGTCACTCCCAGCCTGGATGCACTTGCGGGGAGCTGAAACTAGGAGGTCTCCTCATGGGCAGCAACAGTTTAAACACAGACTGTAGTTGTCATACCCCTGGTGTCATTTTTAATCAGACCGTGCTGTCATGCTCCATAACAACTGCAGAGACGATGGCGTGATGGGCAGAGACCTGCTGCAAGAGCGATGACTCAGTGTCCACACAAACAGCGCATGAAGATACTGTTTTAGGATCTGTCGGTGTGGCAGCGATGGTCCAGTGTGCGGTTGGTAGGGGTGGAATCACACTGGGTGGTGTCCTCGGCCAAAGATAAAGTTTGATGATACAGTTACAGTACATAAAGGCTCATCTAAACAAATGCATCTCATTTAAATGGCTAACCTTCTCTGGGGTCATTTATTGAATAGGTCTGCGTATTCACATGTGTGGCTTCTGTGAACAGCTTGTAAGACGAAAACATTAAAAATGAATACACGCTAAGAATATTCCCTTACTGGCATGTGGAACTTAAGAACACGCCAGCTGATATAAAATTAATGACAAGTGTTATCTGTTTGTGTTAGAAATAGTTTATCAGTTTATTATGGATATGCTGGTCCAGGAAAAGCTATTTTTATTGTTTCCAGTAAAACTGATTCAATCGGAATAACCACAACCATCATTAGAGGTATTTATATTTAAGTTTAGCTCCACCAGTGAGTAAACCTATCAGATGATACTGTATAAATCAGATCTTAAACACTGTAGCACATGTTCAGAAAGCAATTTGACTCTCTGCCCTCTAAATGCTATAATTATGTCTGTGGGTGTTGGGAGACAGAATCGCTCTTTACTTTTAATGTGAAATACAGAATTAAAAGAAATTTAATTTTGGGGGTTATTGAGTATCAGCCATTATACTTAGCATATGCAATTTGTAAATATAATATAGAATGAGAAATTGTAACATCACTAACCATTTATTCTTCCTAAACGTTTTATTAAAATTTAATTGAAAGTGTTGGGTCAACTGTTGGTCATCATTCATCTTGTGTCACGTCCAGTGGAGAATAATGAGGGTGATAGATCTATGTGGGTGAACATTTCAGCTTAGACAAAGCGGGGAAAGTCTTTGTTGGTGCAAGAGTGTACGAAATGGCAAAAACTAAACAATATCTTTAAATATAGTGGTAGCTATAATGCCGGTTTTGGTTTTTCCTTGCGCTTTCATGACACATTTGTAAAGAATTTCCACAACAGAATGAGACTAATACTGCAAGGAATTTGTTTACATTTTTTTTTCTTGTCACCAGGTCTCCAAAAATATACCATAGAAGAAAATGTTTTCATCCTCTTTTTATTTATTTATTTATTCTTATTTTATTTTAAAACCTAAAAATGGAAATAAAATGTTCTATTGTGGATTTTTATTTAAAAAAATGACAAGTTATTTTTCTAAAGAGTTGTGCAACTTTGGCAGCTCTAAGCAAATTTGATTTAACTGGATCATGGGTGGAAATTCCTCTTTGGATGGGAAAGATTGAAAATCCCTAGCCTACATTATTGCATAAAGAGCTTTGTTGGAGGCCTGCACCCTTCAATAGAAACAGTTTTATGTGGTGGTCTGGATAATGTGCCTCAAAGGCAACAAGTTCTCTGAATTCCCAAGACTCTAATCCCACGGAGCAACTGAAGGATGTCCTGGTCAAACAAGATCAAGCCATGAAGCCTCTGCCTCTCAGCTTACCAGACTTAAAACATCTGCTGTTAATATCTCGGTGTCATGTATCATAATAAACCTTCCAGGGGTCATTAGAGTTCATGCCTCAATGAGTCAGAGTTGGAGACAGGTGGCCACAATGTTATGCCAGATGCGTGTATCTGCTTTGCATAAGTTATTTAAATCAACGCAAACAAAATGCATCCAGGTTCTGTGCTTGGAATTGCAACAGTTTGCCTTGTGGGTGTGTGCAAGGACACGCAAACTCAAACAACAATGGCCTACCTTGAATTCTTCCAGGATTTTATACGTTTTCCCTCGGTACTCGCAAAAGTTTTTAACCTCCTTGCACTCGGGGCAGCATCCATTGTGCTCTACTTTCGTGCACTTCGGGTGCAGTTTCGGGCACTCGGGCTGGTCGCACACGGGCCCGTCCTCCGTGCACACGCACGGGCAGTTTGAGTGTCCCGGATAGAAACGCTCCCCGAGCTTGTACACGAACCCGCTGTCGTCCACGCACCCCTTCCCCCTGTAGTCGTCAAAGACGATGTTATCCGCGGCGGTCCGCTCTGCCTCGTCGGCGACGTAATCCTCGGGGTTGCCAACCGTGGCCGGAGACGCGACGCTCAGGGCCAGGAGGGGAAACAGGAGGAGGACGGAGGCGGCCGAGAGGAGAGGGCCCATCCTTCCCCGCGGCGTTAACATCCACATTCAACACGACTGCGTGGATGACATCTCTAAGCTCCGGGTATTCTCTCCGGATCCGACCAGGTCTTTATCATTGCCATCATCGTTATCACTGCTGTCATCGTGTATCCGAAAGAGATGTTCTGCAGTGGAATAACAAAGAAATTAAATAAATAAATACACAGATAATAATCATGGCATGGGGTGGTGATTTCACTGCTACTGTTTTGCGCATTCTCACAACCCTGTCTCACCTTGCGATGTACTTTTTTTTTTTTTTTTCCTGCAACAAGTTTTATCAAAGAGATTATTTTACAAGATGAAAAGCAGTTTTCGTTTCGGTTGTCTGGCAGCGTATACTGTTCAACAGGTTTGTTATAGTGCAGCAGCAGATGTAGGACCAAGAGCAGCAACAGAACAACAGAGGAAAGGGCTTGTGATATCCATTACTGAAGTGGGTGGAGTGTTTTATTTTCCAGATGAAAAGGTCGACCAATTTGAGGTTAAAAAAAAATGGAGAACTTTATATAAAGGACCATAAACAACAGGTAGTTCCGTTTGTCACATTTAAAATGTATTTGCTCGTGTTAGCTTTTTATAGTAAACCAAATCAGTACTGCTGAGCATGCAGCCATACATTTTAAAAACCCACCACCCTCTTTATTTTTTTTATTTTATTTTTTTTTAATAAAGAAGCAGTAAAACTACCCCTGTGCATTTAGAGCTCCGTGTTTTACAATGCCAGATGGATTTCAGGGACAGCAGTGGCGCACGTTAAACGACAAGGCAAACTCACCGTGGTTAAAAGAAAAATAATAATAATAATCTTGATATCCTCTTTGTGTGAAGCCAAGAAAATCCAGAGCACGGATTGCTGGAACAGATCTCAGATAGTCGCCTTGCCCATTGGAAACTTCACTCTCATCCACGCATTAGATTCACAAGGCTCCCCGAAACACTATTGTTCCCCTCCTTCCTCGTGGGTTATGGGTTTAAAAGCAAGTAGTGATCAGCCTTTTTTTCCTTCGCTCTTTCCAAATGCAAAGACGGTGACATTCACGAAAAAGTAGGTCTGTGTCATCATTACCCTCATCCGATTCACCTTTCTGAGACAATATCGCAGTTCACGTCCAACAGCATGCGGCACAGACGCACAGAGCTACAAAAAAAAAAAAAAAAAAAGGGGGGGGAAAGAGAAAACTGCTTAAAATCCTCCGTATAGCGTTCCTTGAGAATCCAGAGTATAGTCAGTATATCCAAATGGTGCAGGTTGGTCAGCGGCTGTCGGTCTTGTTGCGCATATATGCGAGCGTACATCCAACGGTTGCATTGTAAAACAAAAATCCACTATGACTTAGACGAAAGATTATGCAAAAAGGGGGGGGGAAGCAAAGCACTTCTGGATGAAGGCAGTCATTGGAGGATTTTGCAGTTGAGGTTTGCATTAATCGCCAGTAGACGAGACTGAGGAGGGAGCGCTCCTGACTTTCAGAACCTTGGAGAGCGACCGTCTCCTGCGTCCTGCTCTGAGCAGAACAGAGCGCCCCCCAGCTCCGCTCCGTCCATCCCCTGTGTCACCCACAGTCACAACACTCACATCTCACAACCACAGAAAAAAACTACCACTACGTTTCTGGGGGATCGCCTTGCAAAACACAAGGACTAAAAAAAAGTCAGATAATAATAATAATAATAATAATAATAATAATAAAAGTCAGATTTCAACCGGTAGATTGAGCAGGTATAAACTACAGTTTGCGGATGCGTGTTAGTTCACTGTTGCTTCTGTGAACTGGTGCGCCTCGGTGCATGCTTGTCTCATAATGAGGTACTAACTACACATATGTCTTTGAACACGCACTTGTGTGCATCTCTGCTCCTGTCTTCACACATGACCTGCAGCGTTCCCCTGAGTCACCCATAATTTGCAGCACATTTTCACGGCGACCTATTTGTATTCTGCCGTGCATCACACAGAGGGGAGTCAGACTTTCTCTGCCCCCACAGCAAAAGAAGAAAAAATACAGTAAGATTCTGCGGCAACGTGGGCTTTGTTTTACAGGAGCTAACCCATAGGGGCCACTGCCTATCTGCGTTCAGCCCAAACACATCACTGAGAGAGAGAGAGAGAGAGAGAGAGAGAAAGAGAGAGAGAGAGAGAGCCCAGAGCACCATCAGTTAATTAAATATTCCTATGAGAAATCATGAATATTTAACTACTCCAAATATGTGGCCCAAAACTCCTCACAGGAGGGGAAACCTGCACAGCAAAAAGTATTCTGACTTCATACCGTGCCCAACTAAAGTTTTCACACCTTTTGAACTTTTTCACCTTTTAGCCACGTTACAACCTCAAATTTTAATACTGTATCAGTTTTACTGGGATTTTAAACACAGAAGAGTATAGAGAGTAGAAAGAAAATTACAAAAAAAGACAAAAATGAATACTGAAGGGAACATATGGGTTAACGCTCTTATTTCCATACTGCTAAACAAACAAAAAATATTCTGTAGACCAAATTGTCTAAAGAAGTTTACTTCTATTAATCAGAGAAGAAGACAAGAAGCCCAATGAAACATTTGCTCAGATCAACAGCAGCTAAGATGGGGAAATCTATTAAGAACAACTATTAGACCATTCGAAGAACCTGACCTTTATGAAAGACCAGCAAGAAGAAAAGCATGATTTAAAAACTGATGTCCACATAAAAATAACATAAAATAAAATAAATTAGCCTGATCTATTTTGCGAAGAAGACTGGGCAAAGAATCACATCTGTTGATGTGCAAAGCTGGTAGAGATGTAACCTAAAAGATCCATCTGGCCGTAATGGTGCATATATGTTCAGTCCAAAATGCAGATTGCGATTATCCGAGCTTGATTTGTGCTCACTACTTTTCTTTCCAATTAAATACATTGAGCCGCGTGTTTGCAACATGACAAAATGTGAACGGAGATCAATGAGAAGACATTGTTACATTCAATTGTCACAGAGTAAATAATAATCAGAAAGACCAAATGAAAATGACAGGAAATCTTAAATTCTAGTTTGGACAGAGGGAAATCAGTTGGATGTCTTAAATATGTAGTACTTCTTGTGTTTAAGTAACTTTCTTCTCATCTGTATTTGAGTCTGAGCTGCAGAAACCCAGTCTACCCCCTGTTAATATTACTTAAGTACATGCCTCATTAGCTTCAGGCTTGGCAATACGCAACATCCAAATAAAACTCTTTCTAAAGAGTGTTGAAATAGCCAACTTCTGTCAGTGCAGCTCTCCATAATATTTCCTAATGATAGGGAAGCAAAAGGCTTGAAAATGATTCATAATATATACTGTCTACGATTGCAATGATTAGATCAAGTAACAGCTTCTGGGCGCTGCACTCAGTCACTCAGGGTGTGAGACGGCGCGGGCGGATCCATTGACAGGGATTGTGCGAGGTTAGTTATCTCTAAAATGTTGGCAGGTCTTTGAAATGCAGATAACGGCAAAGCTGCGATCACAAAAAAATAAATAAATAAATAAAATAAAAAATAAAAAACCTGTGGCAGGTGGGAACTTGTCAAACTCAAGGTAACAAGGGCAAAGTGGATAAGAACTGTGACAGCAGAACCGTTTAACAGGCAAACGCGCATAACAGGCAAAAGGACCATTTGAGGGGCACAATTAACGTTTCCCTTATTCCAAAAGCAGGAAAGGGGAAGGCAATGTTTAATATGATTCTTTTGATTCTATCTTCTGATATTTTTTTTTAGAATCAATTTATATTTGCCTTCACTAAATGTGTGTGAAGACAGTATATCCCTGACAATAGCCTTTTTCTAATTCAGACTTTTTTTTTTTTTTTTTTTGGAATAGAGATTGGAATTTGGAGTCATGCTAGAGCTATATGGGTCTGAACATAAGTAAAAAAAAGTGCAAGCAACACCAAATAATATATTTTTTTGTTCTTTAACAATGTCAAAGGCATCCACTATTATCCAGAATGCAACAATATACTATGCAGTTGTGTAATACACCATGTCCTTAACTATGCAGAGCAATACCTCTTCCCTCCTGTATTCTCAGTACAGAGACATCTTGTGTGTTGACCTGGTTCTAAAGAAAAAAAAGAAAAAAAGGGAACACTTATGGCTTGGGAAGCCTGTCATCTTCTTTCCTCTCACCGCCCTTTTGCAATAGAGCCACCACAAGTGTGTGTATATATATATCATTTATTAAATCTGACATTGCACTTGGGTAAATGTTGGATCCTAATGTGAGATGTGTTGTCTGAGACAGCCGGCCAGCCACTTCAGCACGCCATGGTCCATTAGGCCTTCACTCTGGCTCACGCAAAACATGGAGTGGCTAATACAAAGCATCAGCAGAACCGAGAAATGTACTAAGGCAGCCACTTCTACCAGCACACAACCTATGTTGTAACTGCTGGCTGAGAAGGCGAAAGTCTTGCTGGTGTGACATGGCTTTCCTGTGAGATTTTCTTGAGCGGCATAACAGAGTTGTTTACATCTTGGACTTATTTAATGTGAAGCAAACGAGTGCCAGCAAACAAGAATAGGTTCCAATTCAATCAGCTAATGGAAAGACAGCTCTTTACTCTCCCCGCCACCCCCCAGCCCCCCACTGCCACCTCCTGCCTGCCACCATCTCAGTTCTCCCAAAGCAACACATTCAGTACACTCTGAGTATGTACCGAGCAGTATAATGGTTTAGCCATTAGGGCCGCATTTAAAGCCCGCCAGCAGGTCCCAGGCATTATATTTGGATGTGGCCATTCATGCTAACTTATTAAGCTGAATACATGGGAGGGAGGAAGCTGAGCGAGAAAGTGTGAGAGCGGAAAACACACAAGTAGGAACTAGCAGCAGGGGAGAAAACCTAAGATAAATCAAGGCTGTTGCGCCTAGCATCTATATTTTCCCCTTTGCGAAGAAATAAGAGTTGTGCATGAGAACGTCGAGGCTTTTTTTGATTAAGGTCTCAGTTGGAAATGTAATCCTTAAAAATTTAATGAATTTGACATGTAATATTTCAGTGGGTTTTATGTTTAATGGCTCAAAACTGATGATAGGAGTAAAATTGGACTTTTAAAAATGTAATCCATGGATAGAGCTCCTGCAATCCCCAGACGATTAAACTGAATAACAATACAAATCCACATCTTTCTTTGATCCACGCATTAGCTCAAAAAGTGTCTTCCGGAGCTCGAGTCGTAAATCAGTGTAGTCACCGTATTATCATGAAAATATTAGCTCACATATCAGCTTCCCCACCTCTCTCACATACCTAAAGTATGCATAATAATAGTATTATTAAATAAGACTTGAATAAGAAGCTGCAGCTGAATTATGTTGTGTCCTAAGTGGTTCAGGAATGTTTAAAACTAATTAGATTTGAGATCCCCAGTTACTTGGGTACTATGTGCTGTGTGAATTGCACGCTATGAGGCTTTCAGGTTGAGTCTGAGAGTGCATCCTCATTGTTTCACTCATCCTCTTTACCCCCGTAGTCCTATAAACCACATCCTATATTACACACCGCACTGATTCAGACACTAAAATAGTCCTACTATGGCAAGGACGAGGAGATTCATTGGCTTTTGGGGATGAGATCGCTCTGTGGCAATGGTGGATTAGGGAGAAAATGCATGTGCTGGTTTCAGTTTGCTGGTGGATTGTGGGTCTCCCTGTGATGCTTATTATCCCAGCTGTGTGTAACAGTGCCCCTGTGGGTGCTGGCATTTTCCACCGAGTTAGAATAAGAGCTCTTTTCTCTTCCCAGAGGGGACCTGTAGAGGCTCTCTGATTCTCTTTCTCCCAAGGCTGACGATGCTTCAGCAGCTTCAGGAAGGCACTCAGCATGGAGACTCTGCCGCTGTGGTTGGTTGCCTTTTAATGACTCTGCTGGTTTAGACATGCAAATAGCACTGAAGTGGAGAGAGGGCCTGAAGGGACACTGCGGTATGTGAATAAAATGCAATATTCCAAGTTTTAAGGCTTTAGTATAGGACTGATTCATGAGGGTGAATGAATGGAATATCTTTATTGAATGCCAACAAAAGTAGTGCTCATCATGAATGGTATCGTACCATAATTATTCCATCAACCTACAAGGGGTAGTCATCACCTTCGTCTCATGCAATATTTTCATGCTCTTAAAGGGGCAGTCCAGAAATTTGAAATAAAATATCATGCTGGTTAATATCAAACTTGCAGTGAAGAACTCTTCATTTAGTTTACATTCATATTAGTCATACCTGAGCAAACATCTAGCTGGAAAGGGTCCAAGATTATTGAAATATTAAAATAACTTCCTTTCTCAGAAATGTCATATCAGTTTATTCAAATGTTATTTTATGAACCTTAAAATAGTTGCCGTGTTTGTCTTACCTACAGGTATGCTGATGATTAATTACATAGGGAATTATTGTTGAAGGTCTTCACCATTATCGATCTTTCTGTGTGAAACATGCACTGAGAACATAACATGAAGCATATCTATCAAAAGAAACACACCAAATACACTGTTTCACTTGCATTTCAAACACAGACTGACTGGAAATAATTCACATGTTCTTAGTATGTATTTCACACGTCAAAATTGCTCCTACTTTCATTTTTCATATCAATAGTCATTGGTGTCTATTAGAGAATTAGTTGTTTTTAGATCGCAGCTTCAGCCAATCTGAAATATAGCAAATTAAGATGCCAAGAAATGTACAGGAAACATAAGAGTATCTATCTGCATTTCACTGACATTTCTAGAACTGTTGTTCAATCATGAGCTACCCAAGTAAAAAAACAAAAACAAAACAAAAAAAAAACACTTAAAATCATTTTACATTTATGTTTAAGCAGCACTTGCGAGGTCTAAACTTTCTAAAGATGGATTCATGCTGAATAGATGCTATTACCTGCAAAAATGCAATTCTGTAGCTGACTCCATTACAATATAAGTACATGTACTTCATATATTGTACCTCTGTTTATCAAACTGCAAGATAATTAAT